CGAAATAAAGTTTTAACTGATTCACGTAATTCTGTTCGATCAGCATAACCTGGATCTATTGTTACAAATATATCAACAGTTGATAGAAGTTGAATTTCATTGTGTCCAAAAAAAAAATTGTTTAACATGTAATGATAAAGCTTGTTGAATACTTTTTACTTGAGTAGAAACTACACTGAGAACAGATGCTTCAATACGATTGAATCTGTTTTTTTTTATTAAAGAATTATTAGTTAGAATATTAAAAAAGAAAGAACTTTTAAATAAATTATTCACATAAACCATTTAAATTTTCACCTATTGATTGATAATCCATGCATAAAAATTAGGAGATATTATATCGGTGATGAAGCCGATCTACATTTTTGACAACCGGTTCAATCTGTGAACTGAACTAATGAATACTAAAGAAAATTTTAACTTCACCGCAATTAGTAGCAACATAAAGAAGATCAATAGTTTTAGCAAGATCTTTAATTGATTCTGTTTTTCCAGTACCTGCTGATTCGGCTATAAAAAATAGTGACGAATATCATTTTAATACTCTATGTTATACATCAATCAAATCTGGTGCACAACCAAGAAACATTGACAAAGCCTATTATTTGAATTGTTGAAGTTTGCTATACAATACTAAAAATTCTATTTACTTGTGTAACTGTTAGATAAATTCGATCTTTTGATAATCAATAAAAACGTAATTGACATTGCTATGAACTAAAATCAAGTTAGAATTTCTATAATATATATTCGATAAAACTTACAAATCATGAGGTTCATTAATACCATTACGAATTAAAATGTCTATTATATCACGAGTATGTACTTCAATTCTTATATAAAGAAAGAATTGATGAAGGAAATATTTTATTCTAATAAAACATTTTTTTTACTTGATTTTAAAAATTTTCACATTTCTATAACAATTTCTTCTATTTGAGAATTTAATTATTTAACATAAGTTTTCATTGCTGAACGTTGATTATGCTTAATTATTTTATCAAATTGACTGAAAATTAGAAAATAAAATTTAAGAAAAATGGTACTTGCTAGTTTCAATGGATATTTGTATTAATAAAAAAGAATTGTTGTTTGACAAACTACTTTTCAAAATACAAAACTGAGCTATAAAAACCAATCTTGTATTTTAAATTTGATAAGTTTACAGTGAAAATATGAAATAGTATTTTGTACAATTACTATTTTGACACTTTTGAAACAATCTGATTATAGCTGTTCAATCTTACTTCAGAAGGAAGTGTAGCTCAAAAAATGAGTAAATATTTTGTGCCAAAATCTTTGCGTCATAAGTTAGTAAAGTGGAATGTTGGACGGGCACTCGATGGACTACATAAATACTGTGCTACGTGAAAGTAATAAACTGTAAAAGTTGTCTTGAACAGTTGGTCATTAAATCAAATATTTGACGAGATATAATCAGAGAACAATTATTCTAAGTCTAATTTCGTATTTATATATTTATTATGCATTGATTAAGTCACTTTTTATAGCAAATCAAATCGTACTCATTTAAGATGAGACATTGTAAGATTCTTAAATTGAAAATGTGTGAAAAATACATTCCATCGGATTCAAAATATTCGGAGTTCGAATCGTATTCTTAATTACAATGAAGTTTTTTAGTCTGAGTCTAATAGTCGCTTCGAAGATGCGAAATATTTTTCTATCGATTATTTGTGTTCTGCTATTAATACATTCTAGACATTTCGCAAACATTTTTGACAATAGTCTCATAATAATTCAGTTATCATTGGCTGTTCCTTCAAGCATATGACACGTTGGACTAGTCTCAGAGTTAAACTTAGACTAATCAATAAACAGGTTCATCATGGAACAAATTCTAGGCATTCATATATTAGTGTTAAATACTTTCTTTCAGAATAAATTTTGCACTAGTAATTATAGTATTTTGATTCATATCTATATTAGAATAATCGATCTATATCTCTTTATTATACTTAAATCACATAATTCTTTTCTTTCCTAAAATACACAGATCTAAATATATAATTTATTGTAAAAGCTTCAGAACTTTTGATTATTTCTATCATAAGATATGGCTATGATGAACGAATGTATTCTTACGCCGCTCATATACAATGGCAGAGTCTAATGTTCATTTTACGGAATAGATGCAATAAAAAAGAAAATTAAAACTTTCATGTCCAGTTTCCTTAGTATTCAGTAGACGAAGCGCAGTATTCTGTTAAAAAATAAAGTATCTCGGCAGTATTCATCTATTAGGTCGAACTCTTTTTCAGAATATTTATATCTCATTAGTATCTACATGCTACATTTAGTTCCAACTCACAAGCGATTTGATACTTAGAGACATATGTGATTTTATTTTGTCTTAACATACTCTTCGATTTCTCATGTACTTCAAAGTTGATATACAGCTAAAATAACCATTCCAATATATTTTCTCATCCATTATAATAGATTTTGTTTAAAACGGTAATAAAAAATAGCTTCTTTCGCTAATAAACGATTTGTATATTACATTTCTTTTTCAATATTTGACATTCATATTTCAACTTTTACACTACATTCAATTGGATTTTAAAAATTAATTTCTTCTTTTTCTAATGATATTGTTGCTGAGGCATAAATAGAATTTTCTTGATTATTTAAATGTATTTGTTTGTCAATTTGTTCATTTTATTGTTTTTCTATTGAAATTAATAATTTATCATAATGTACAAAAATTTAATGATGCAATATTATCAAACATTTTTTGTAAATATTCTGGAATATGATTTGGATTTAATGATCCAATAATTGACGTTTTGTATATAAATATTCATTGAAACTTTTTGAATTTTTTCAATAAGATTGAATATTGATTTTAATTCATCATATCGACCAGCATGTGTACAAGCATCTCTAACTAATGAATTTCTTGATGTTTCTAAAAGTAATGAAAATAAAAAGAGGATTTATTTAAAATATGAAATATACCAAAAATTATTTTTCGATATAATCTATCAGCTGTGTCAAATCGTTTAGCATCTTCGCCAAATTGTAAATTAGAACCAATCAATATATTTTCAAGAGACATCCACAATTGTTGGACAATTGTTCATAATTTTATTAGATCAGAAATTAAAGATAATATTCGAATCCATTGTTCAGAGTATGGGTGTGGGTGTGGCTGAATTGAGGACCGACATCCACACCCCACATCCTAAAATAATGGTTGACATTATAAATCTTGATGTAGAGGAGATTTGAGTTGAGTGAGAAACATAAATGTTGACTTTTACGATCATAGATGATTTTTTTCAGATCAAATCTGTAGAAATAGTGACTTAAAATGTAGACAAATTGGAAAGTGTCGAGGGGTATCCAAGGACTGAGAATTAGGAATTCCTCCTCAGTTTCCCTACAATTCCTTGCATACTAAAGGTACAAATATGGAATATTCACGATAATTTTTGCTCTTACACTCATTTTCACCTGCAAAATTGTGAGAATCAATAGTTCCGTGCATAAATTATTTTTAAAAAAACAATATCGGGACTTTCATGAATAATGGAATTGTGAGAGAACCAATGGTCGATTCCCATTTTCTCTAGGAATTATCACAACGGCACTGACAATTCCTCAGCAGATTAGGAATTCATATTTTTCAGTCCTTGGACACTGCTGAAGGGTTATGGTAAGTTTTCAAAAGTTTACACCCTATCGGCATGGAAAATTATTTTCATAAGATAATTCAAATAAGATCTGAGTTAAAATGTTGAATATCACAAAGTAATTAACACCTGACCTGGAAATATTAGAACAATAATCAAAAATGAAGTTGAAAACATACTATCCAAGACGAACCATAATTGTTATTATGACGATCCCTTTGTAAAACCGCATGTCAAACATTTTGACAAATACAAACATAAACATTGAGTTATGTGAAACTCTTTTATGCTCGTATCTGTCTTATCCTCGTGCTGTAAACAACACTAACGGTTGTCGTATTGATTATTGATTATATTCAACAAGTGTGAAAAAAAAGATATATTACTCTGTGATATTTATCATTTTAGATCAGATCTCATTTGAACTACCTTATGAAAGTAATTTTCTATGTCGATGGGGTGTAAACTTTTGAAAACTTACC